GTGTGTGTGTGTGTGTGCAGGGGGAGGGGGCTTAACCATTTCACTGCTGTGTGTATGGCCTGCATAAAGAAAATACATTTCTCAAGCCTGGTATTTTTTAAATAAGTTTTTATTTTTATTTTTTATAAGTAAAGGCATATAACTAGTTTAATTGTAGTGAATTGACAATAGTTTTATATAATTAGTTTATTAATCAGATTAACTTGGTCAATAAACTTGGTCTGAAAATTTGGTCCATAAATCAAACACACTTGCATGTAATAATATGAAACTTGGTACACATATAGATCTCATCGTTTCATATATACTTCACACTCTTACTTTTTACCCCAGCCCAACAGGAAGTCGGCTATTTAGGGTTGTGTTTAAAACACATGCAATGGAATTTAAATTATTGCTCCTAGAGCACTGAACCAAATTCGACGAAACTCGATCAGCGTGAAGTCAAGACATTAAGGATGAAAAAGTGCCACGGGATTTTTGATATCTCGAACGGTTTGGCCGTGGCGAGGAAACGAAATTATGGCGAGAAACATGAAACAGGATGTGTGTTATAACTTCAGCATACATTAACTGATCTTGATGAAACTTCAGCAGTGTTTTCGCTGTAAGAGACCGATCACATGGATGTGACTATTGTGAGTCAAAGTTATAGCGCCACCAACTGGCAGCAGGAAGTGTGTCACTTTCAAAATGCTTTGAAATCACTCTCTTATTTTTAACCGATTTGCTTCAAACTTCATCTGTATAATGTAAATACACGGCAGATGTAGACCTGTGAATGAATTTTTGATATCTTTGATACTGTTGCCGTGGCAACGAATCAAACTTTAACATTCTTTTTTGATGCTTTGGGACTCTTAGCATGCTTGAAATTGCTTGAAACTCAACAGATACATCACATTTATTAGCCAGTAGACATGTGCAACTATGGCAAAAGATTAAAGTAATGTCAAAAAAGTAAACACTAAAAGCCTCATATCTTCTAAAAATGTAATTATACATCATTTGTTCTAAATTAAATTATACAAATATTATAACTTCCCCAATTTTTCCTTTTTTCATTTAAGAATTATGTTTACGTTCAAAAACAGCCAGAATTGTTGTAAAATTCATAAAAAAATAATAATCTGAGTCATACGTAGTGCTATACTGCCCTCTTGTGTTCAATATCAGGTAGGCCTATTGTGTATATTCCCACCGGTTAATCAACGTGTGACTCCGCTGGGACTTGGGAGCTTTTAAATCGCTTACTTAAAACCGAAAGTCAAAATACGGATGTCCGCACAAGACATTAATGGTGTGGAGTAGAGCGAGCATTTTAAATAAATTCCTATTAAGTAGGATTGAACTAAACAGAAAGAATGTTCACTCTGTTCTGCTGGTTCCTCGCTGGTGGATCATATGATTACTTTGTCATAATCTATGACAAAAATGCTATTATAAACTATATTAATAATAGATAATACACATTGCTCTTATTTTTAAAAAATACATTCATGAAAAACAAGATAACAAAAATCATAAAAAAGATATAGCCATGGCTGCTATAAATGTTTGAAATGCATAGGACAGATGTTTAGTGACGCAGCAA